TGTCCTAGGATCTCCAGATGCGGTTGTAATGGCTCTTTTAGGTGTGTCTCTCTCGGACACTGGAATAATGTGACAAGCACGAACCAAGTCAATTTTGGTAAATAAACCCATGGAAGTTGTCGCTGAAACCCGAGTTCAAGCGTCATTATTGTCTCCCACAACGTCTGGAGGTAGCATACACCCTCTGATTGACGAGGTAGAATAGTAATGGCAAAACGAAGAAACCTATTTATAAACCTGCCCATTTCATGCACCGTTTTATTTGAGCTTGTGGCGCATAAATAGTAGTGGCAGGAGGGCATAAAAATGACTCCAAAATTTTCTGCTCACAACATCGACAGTGACAAAAACTGTCCCGAGTGTTCAACTCCTCTAACCATATTACTACTGTGGCGTGTGCACTGCTGACAAGACTTACCAGTAGTGTATAAGAGACGTTGACTGGCATAAAAAATATCGAATAGGGGAGAGATGGATTTGACGTCAAAGAGAGCAAATGACTCAGCGTTGTGGCAAAACATCGGAGACACGGAAAGAAGACAAAGAAACACAATACGAAGGAAGGGAAGAAGTTACACAACATGGAAGATCTGAGGAAATGATGATGCAGATAAGGTGTACATATTTCGCTACATAGAGATATCCAATTCCAAATGAGTATTCCTTTTCCATATCTCTTGCCTTCTACTATTAAACGACACCAGCAGTGTCTAGTGACAGCAGAGATGTCATAGAAACTGCATTTAAGATAAACGTGGATTATCCTTGTACAACTAAGCACATCTGATGAATAATAAAAAAGAGTAGCAGGAATATATATATGTAGCGGTAAATAATTCCCCAAAATTATTAACCACAGCAATCATCACTCAACATTGGATGCTGACCATCACTGTTTAAGTCGACTTGTTTAGCTGAAGGCTTACGGTCAAGCATCCCCGCCATTTGGTGCTCCGTCGTGTCACGTGCGTGCACGATTACTAGCTAGCTAAGCATTCATTCCTACCCGCGATTTGGTCCCAAAATATATATCGTATTTGGACGACAAAATCTGGTCTTTTGCTTTACCATTTGGTACTCGAAGAACGAACACTATAGTGGTTGTTGGTATAAGATCTTGCGTTAGTATAATCCGTACAACTCGCGAACGTTCGATACCTTCGTCCACCTAAACTGGTGAGCCCAACCACGAACTACCGTCAATCACTAAACTGGTGAGCCCAACCACGAACTACATCTTCAATTCACACGCAGATAAACCCGGTGAGTTCGTTCCTTTTTGTGTTTATTCTTGTACTATATTGTTATCGGCACACTTTTCGTCATGAGTGATCCTAGCCCCAAAGTTATTCAGATTCGCTCAACCGCCAAAACAATTCAGCTAGTATCATTTTGGCCCGATAATGCTGAAACGTGGTTTCAGATTGCTGAGTCTGATTTTTGTGAACATGGCATAACTGATCAACGTTCACAGTTCCTTGCAGTTGTTCACGCCCTACCGCGGGAATTCAGCAGGTGCGTAACTCTGCAGATGTCGGTAAGTAACTCGTACGAGTTGCTCAAAACATCTATCCTCAAGAGAAACGTTCTCACAGATCGACAACGTCTGGATGAGTTATTTCGTAACATCGAGTTAGGAGATCAGTCAGCCGTGAGCATGCTGGCAAGAATGAAAGAGATCATTGGCCAAAGTCAGTTCGATGAAGGACTGTTTAGAGAACTATTTTTATCCAAACTGCCACAGTCAGTTCAGACTGTACTTGTGACACTTCAGGGTGTTCTCATGGATGACTTAGCTGTCTCTGCAGATAGAATTCTAGAGATAACGAAACAGCCAGTCACCGAAGTATACTCTGTTACCGAACAGGCTTCGAAGAAGGATTCTGCAATGATAGAGTTAATCAACTCCGTCCAGCAGATGCTTAGGTCAAACAAGCCTAGCAATTCCTCAAACCGTCGTTCTAGATCCCCTCAACGGCAAAACGCACGTGGACGATCTAAGTCCAACACACGTTCTGTCAAAAATCCTGACTGGTGTTGGTATCACAACACCTATGGCAAGGAAGCGAAATGTTGTCGAAAACCTTGTGATTTCGGCAAAGCCTCCAAGTCTGTGGGAAACTATCCCGCCGGCACGCGTTAGCGGCAACCGTCGCCGGTGGCACTAGCCGCTTACTTTACATCCATGATGTAATTAGCCAGACTAGATATCTAGTCGACACAGGCGCCGAAGTCAGCGTCCTTCCTGCTACAGCAGCAGATCGACAGAAGGATCCTAACTTCAACCTACAGGCTGCAAATGGAAAACCAATTGCAACCTATGGTCGGAAATACGTCTATCTGAACGTAGGTTTACGCAAACCTATTCAGTGGATTTTCCTAATCGCTGACGTCACAATGCCCATCATCGGCACGGACCTACTTAATCATCATGATTTGCTCGTAGACGTCCGCCGTAAACGACTAATTGACAACACTACTAGTTTGTCTATCAAAGGCATAACTTACAGTGGCCCCGGTTTGTCAATCGTTAAGATGAAAGCAATCCTCGATCCAACTTTTCAACCAATTGTTGACAAATATCCGGAACTGAATTGCCCATCTAACGATCTCCCGTGTATAACCAGCAATGTTATGCACCACATCATAACCTCAGGACAGCCCGTGACATCTAAAGCACGACGACTGGCACCTGACAAACTGAGAATTGCCAGAAACGAATTCGATCATATGCTCACCCTTGGCATCATTCGGCCATCGAATAGTCCATGGGCATCCCCATTGCATATGGTACCGAAAAAGGATAGCAACGATTGGCGACCCACTGGTGATTACAGGCGAGTGAACGCCAAAACAACTCCTGATTGCTACCCTTTGCCTCACATACACGACTTGACGGCAACGTTATCTGGAGCATCTATATTCTCCAAAATCGACTTGGTTAAAGCATATAACCAAATCCCGATGGCAACGGAAGATATCCCGAAAACGGCTATCATCACGCCTTTTGGACTTTTTGAATTCCTACGTATGCCATTCGGCCTCCGGAATGCGGCCCAAACATTCCAACGCTTCATAAACGAAGTATTTCGCGGTCTCGACTTTGTATACGCATACTTAGACGACTGCCTCATTGCCAGTCCAGATAAGGAAACTCACCTTAGACACTTGGACTTGGCATTTGAAAGGTTACGCCAACATGGTGTTACCATCAATATACAGAAGTGTCAAATAGGCGTTGACTCACTCGATTTTCTGGGTCACACTATTGACTGTCAGGGCATTCGCCCACTGGCTACTTCGGTCGATCACTCTAAGAAAACGCGTTCTGGACGTCACGTTAGATTCCCAGAATACCTTCACACCTATCTCACATAACTGAGTGACACATCAATTTTTTTTTATGTTGCGTCATTTAACACAAGTAAATGATATTTTTCCTATAACCGTACATAAAATTATATAAGATGTATATTTTTTTTTCCCGAAATTTTGAACTTTACATTATTTTACTGTAAAGTAGATGCATGTCGTATTTTTTTGGTAAAAATAAAACGCTTATTTGGTACATTTTTCTTGACAAGGTTCTCAGCATTCTTGTTTTCTTTTCCAGGTGCAACGGGCACTGGACAGGAAACAAACGAAGCACGGGATCCAACGAACAACACTGAGGAAGCTATGTACAGACACCCTATTAGCATAGGAAGACAGACCAGCAGGCACCCCATCAAGCCGCTCGGAAGATTTTTTTCACCCGTCAGGGAACCATCGAGATTTTTTTACTTCCGGCTGGTCATGTCTTAGGGTCCTCACAAACCCACTAGGGGGGGGAGTGAGCTGTAGCGGTAAATAATTCCCCAAAATTATTAACCACAGCAATCATCACTCAACATTGGATGCTGACCATCACTGTTTAAGTCGACTTGTTTAGCTGAAGGCTTACGGTCAAGCATCCCCGCCATTTGGTGCTCCGTCGTGTCACGTGCGTGCACGATTACTAGCTAGCTAAGCATTCATTCCTACCCGCGATTTGGTCCCAAAATATATATCGTATTTGGACGACAAAATCTGGTCTTTTGCTTTACCATTTGGTACTCGAAGAACGAACACTATAGTGGTTGTTGGTATAAGATCTTGCGTTAGTATAATCCGTACAACTCGCGAACGTTCGATACCTTCGTCCACCTAAACTGGTGAGCCCAACCACGAACTACCGTCAATCACTAAACTGGTGAGCCCAACCACGAACTACATCTTCAATTCACACGCAGATAAACCCGGTGAGTTCGTTCCTTTTTGTGTTTATTCTTGTACTATATTGTTATCGGCACACTTTTCGTCATGAGTGATCCTAGCCCCAAAGTTATTCAGATTCGCTCAACCGCCAAAACAATTCAGCTAGTATCATTTTGGCCCGATAATGCTGAAACGTGGTTTCAGATTGCTGAGTCTGATTTTTGTGAACATGGCATAACTGATCAACGTTCACAGTTCCTTGCAGTTATTCACGCCCTACCGCGGGAATTCAGCAGGTGCGTAACTCTGCAGATGTCGGTAAGTAACTCGTACGAGTTGCTCAAAACATCTATCCTCAAGAGAAACGTTCTCACAGATCGACAACGTCTGGATGAGTTATTTCGTAACATCGAGTTAGGAGATCAGTCAGCCGTGAGCATGCTGGCAAGAATGAAAGAGATCATTGGCCAAAGTCAGTTCGATGAAGGACTGTTTAGAGAACTATTTTTATCCAAACTGCCACAGTCAGTTCAGACTGTACTTGTGACACTTCAGGGTGTTCTCATGGATGACTTAGCTGTCTCTGCAGATAGAATTCTAGAGATAACGAAACAGCCAGTCACCGAAGTATACTCTGTTACCGAACAGGCTTCGAAGAAGGATTCTGCAATGATAGAGTTAATCAACTCCGTCCAGCAGATGCTTAGGTCAAACAAGCCTAGCAATTCCTCAAACCGTCGTTCTAGATCCCCTCAACGGCAAAACGCACGTGGACGATCTAAGTCCAACACACGTTCTGTCAAAAATCCTGACTGGTGTTGGTATCACAACACCTATGGCAAGGAAGCGAAATGTTGTCGAAAACCTTGTGATTTCGGCAAAGCCTCCAAGTCTGTGGGAAACTATCCCGCCGGCACGCGTTAGCGGCAACCGTCGCCGGTGGCACTAGCCGCTTACTTTACATCCATGATGTAATTAGCCAGACTAGATATCTAGTCGACACAGGCGCCGAAGTCAGCGTCCTTCCTGCTACAGCAGCAGATCGACAGAAGGATCCTAACTTCAACCTACAGGCTGCAAATGGAAAACCAATTGCAACCTATGGTCGGAAATACGTCTATCTGAACGTAGGTTTACGCAAACCTATTCAGTGGATTTTCCTAATCGCTGACGTCACAATGCCCATCATCGGCACGGACCTACTTAATCATCATGATTTGCTCGTAGACGTCCGCCGTAAACGACTAATTGACAACACTACTAGTTTGTCTATCAAAGGCATAACTTACAGTGGCCCCAGCTTGTCAATCGTTAAGATGAAAGCAATCCTCGATCCAACTTTTCAACCAATTGTTGACAAATATCCGGAACTGAATTGCCCATCTAACGATCTCCCGTGTATAACCAGCAATGTTATGCACCACATCATAACCTCAGGACAGCCCGTGACATCTAAAGCACGACGACTGGCACCTGACAAACTGAGAATTGCCAGAAACGAATTCGATCATATGCTCACCCTTGGCATCATTCGGCCATCGAATAGTCCATGGGCATCCCCATTGCATATGGTACCGAAAAAGGATAGCAACGATTGGCGACCCACTGGTGATTACAGGCGAGTGAACGCCAAAACAACTCCTGATTGCTACCCTTTGCCTCACATACACGACTTGACGGCAACGTTATCTGGAGCATCTATATTCTCCAAAATCGACTTGGTTAAAGCATATAACCAAATCCCGATGGCAACGGAAGATATCCCGAAAACGGCTATCATCACGCCTTTTGGACTTTTTGAATTCCTACGTATGCCATTCGGCCTCCGGAATGCGGCCCAAACATTCCAACGCTTCATAAACGAAGTATTTCGCGGTCTCGACTTTGTATACGCATACTTAGACGACTGCCTCATTGCCAGTCCAGATAAGGAAACTCACCTTAGACACTTGGACTTGGCATTTGAAAGGTTACGCCAACATGGTGTTACCATCAATATACAGAAGTGTCAAATAGGCGTTGACTCACTCGATTTTCTGGGTCACACTATTGACTGTCAGGGCATTCGCCCACTGGCTACTTCGGTCGATCACTCTAAGAAAACGCGTTCTGGACGTCACGTTAGATTCCCAGAATACCTTCACACCTATCTCACATAACTGAGTGACACATCAATTTTTTTTTATGTTGCGTCATTTAACACAAGTAAATGATATTTTTCCTATAACCGTACATAAAATTATATAAGATGTATATTTTTTTTTCCCGAAATTTTGAACTTTACATTATTTTACTGTATAGTAGATGCATGTCGTATTTTTTTGGTAAAAATAAAACGCTTATTTGGTACATTTTTCTTGACAAGGTTCTCAGCATTCTTGTTTTCTTTTCCAGGTGCAACGGGCACTGGACAGGAAACAAACGAAGCACGGGATCCAACGAACAACACTGAGGAAGCTATGTACAGACACCCTATTAGCATAGGAAGACAGACCAGCAGGCACCCCATCAAGCCGCTCGGAAGATTTTTTTCACCCGTCAGGGAACCATCGAGATTTTTTTACTTCCGGCTGGTCATGTCTTAGGGTCCTCACAAACCCACTAGGGGGGGGAGTGAGCTGTAGCGGTAAATAATTCCCCAAAATTATTAACCACAGCAATCATCACTCAACATTGGATGCTGACCATCACTGTTTAAGTCGACTTGTTTAGCTGAAGGCTTACGGTCAAGCATCCCCGCCATTTGGTGCTCCGTCGTGTCACGTGCGTGCACGATTACTAGCTAGCTAAGCATTCATTCCTACCCGCGATTTGGTCCCAAAATATATATCGTATTTGGACGACAAAATCTGGTCTTTTGCTTTACCATTTGGTACTCGAAGAACGAACACTATAGTGGTTGTTGGTATAAGATCTTGCGTTAGTATAATCCGTACAACTCGCGAACGTTCGATACCTTCGTCCACCTAAATTGGTGAGCCCAACCACGAACTACCGTCAATCACTAAATATATATATATACACACATATATCACAGCTTATCACTCGTGATTGACCTGTTCGCTCTCAGACAATCGTATAGAACTTCGTAGGTTGCAGTTGAGTATTCAAAGGTTAAAGGTGGTGGGATCCCGTAGCTGTCAATGACATGTCCTAGGATCTCCAGATGCGGTTGTAATGGCTCTTTTAGGTGTGTCTCTCTCGGACACTGGAATAATGTGACAAGCACGAACCAAGTCAATTTTGGTAAATAAACCCATGGAAGTTGTCGCTGAAACCCGAGTTCAAGCGTCATCATTGTCTCCCACAACGTCTGGAGGTAGCATACACCCTCTGATTGACGAGGTAGAATAGTAATGGCAAAACGAAGAAACCTATTTATAAACCTGCCCATTTCATGCACCGTTTTATTTGAGCTTGTGGCGCATAAATAGTAGTGGCAGGAGGGCATAAAAATGACTCCAAAATTTTCTGCTCACAACATCGACAGTGACAAAAACTGTCCCGAGTGTTCAACTCCTCTAACCATATTACTACTGTGGCGTGTGCACTGCTGACAAGACTTACCAGTAGTGTATAAGAGACGTTGACTGGCATAAAAAATATCGAATAGGGGAGAGATGGATTTGACGTCAAAGAGAGCAAATGACTCAGCGTTGTGGCAAAACATCGGAGACACGGAAAGAAGACAAAGAAACACAATACGAAGGAAGGGAAGAAGTTACACAACATGGAAGATCTGAGGAAATGATGATGCAGATAAGGTGTACATATTTCGCTACATAGAGATATCCAATTCCAAATGAGTATTCCTTTTCCATATCTCTTGCCTTCTACTATTAAACGACACCATCAGTGTCTAGTGACAGCAGAGATGTCATAGAAACTGCATTTAAGATAAACGTGGATTATCCTTGTACAACTAAGCACATCTGATGAATAATAAAAAAGAGTAGCAGGAATATATATATATATATACACATATATATCACAGCTTATCACTCGTGATTGACCTGTTCGCTCTCAGACAATCGTATAGAACTTCGTAGGTTGCAGTTGAGTATTCAAAGGTTAAAGGTGGTGGGATCCCGTAGCTGTCAATGACATGTCCTAGGATCTCCAGATGCGGTTGTAATGGCTCTTTTAGGTGTGTCTCTCTCGGACACTGGAATAATGTGACAAGCACGAACCAAGTCAATTTTGGTAAATAAACCCATGGAAGTTGTCGCTGAAACCCGAGTTCAAGCGTCATCATTGTCTCCCACAACGTCTGGAGGTAGCATACACCCTCTGATTGACGAGGTAGAATAGTAATGGCAAAACGAAGAAACCTATTTATAAACCTGCCCATTTCATGCACCGTTTTATTTGAGCTTGTGGCGCATAAATAGTAGTGGCAGGAGGGCATAAAAATGACTCCAAAATTTTCTGCTCACAACATCGACAGTGACAAAAACTGTCCCGAGTGTTCAACTCCTCTAACCATATTACTACTGTGGCGTGTGCACTGCTGACAAGACTTACCAGTAGTGTATAAGAGACGTTGACTGGCATAAAAAATATCGAATAGGGGAGAGATGGATTTGACGTCAAAGAGAGCAAATGACTCAGCGTTGTGGCAAAACATCGGAGACACGGAAAGAAGACAAAGAAACACAATACGAAGGAAGGGAAGAAGTTACACAACATGGAAGATCTGAGGAAATGATGATGCAGATAAGGTGTACATATTTCGCTACATAGAGATATCCAATTCCAAATGAGTATTCCTTTTCCATATCTCTTGCCTTCTACTATTAAACGACACCAGCAGTGTCTAGTGACAGCAGAGATGTCATAGAAACTGCATTTAAGATAAACGTGGATTATCCTTGTACAACTAAGCACATCTGATGAATAATAAAAAAGAGTAGCAGGAATATATATATATATATACACACATATATCACAGCTTATCACTCGTGATTGACCTGTTCGCTCTCAGACAATCGTATAGAACTTCGTAGGTTGCAGTTGAGTATTCAAAGGTTAAAGGTGGTGGGATCCCGTAGCTGTCAATGACATGTCCTAGGATCTCCAGATGCGGTTGTAATGGCTCTTTTAGGTGTGTCTCTCTCGGACACTGGAATAATGTGACAAGCACGAACCAAGTCAATTTTGGTAAATAAACCCATGGAAGTTGTCGCTGAAACCCGAGTTCAAGCGTCATTATTGTCTCCCACAACGTCTGGAGGTAGCATACACCCTCTGATTGACGAGGTAGAATAGTAATGGCAAAACGAAGAAACCTATTTATAAACCTGCCCATTTCATGCACCGTTTTATTTGAGCTTGTGGCGCATAAATAGTAGTGGCAGGAGGGCATAAAAATGACTCCAAAATTTTCTGCTCACAACATCGACAGTGACAAAAACTGTCCCGAGTGTTCAACTCCTCTAACCATATTACTACTGTGGCGTGTGCACTGCTGACAAGACTTACCAGTAGTGTATAAGAGACGTTGACTGGCATAAAAAATATCGAATAGGGGAGAGATGGATTTGACGTCAAAGAGAGCAAATGACTCAGCGTTGTGGCAAAACATCGGAGACACGGAAAGAAGACAAAGAAACACAATACGAAGGAAGGGAAGAAGTTACACAACATGGAAGATCTGAGGAAATGATGATGCAGATAAGGTGTACATATTTCGCTACATAGAGATATCCAATTCCAAATGAGTATTCCTTTTCCATATCTCTTGCCTTCTACTATTAAACGACACCAGCAGTGTCTAGTGACAGCAGAGATGTCATAGAAACTGCATTTAAGATAAACGTGGATTATCCTTGTACAACTAAGCACATCTGATGAATAATAAAAAAGAGTAGCAGGAATATATATATATATATATATACACACATATATCACAGCTTATCACTCGTGATTGACCTGTTCGCTCTCAGACAATCGTATAGAACTTCGTAGGTTGCAGTTGAGTATTCAAAGGTTAAAGGTGGTGGGATCCCGTAGCTGTCAATGACATGTCCTAGGATCTCCAGATGCGGTTGTAATGGCTCTTTTAGGTGTGTCTCTCTCGGACACTGGAATAATGTGACAAGCACGAACCAAGTCAATTTTGGTAAATAAACCCATGGAAGTTGTCGCTGAAACCCGAGTTCAAGCGTCATTATTGTCTCCCACAACGTCTGGAGGTAGCATACACCCTCTGATTGACGAGGTAGAATAGTAATGGCAAAACGAAGAAACCTATTTATAAACCTGCCCATTTCATGCACCGTTTTATTTGAGCTTGTGGCGCATAAATAGTAGTGGCAGGAGGGCATAAAAATGACTCCAAAATTTTCTGCTCACAACATCGACAGTGACAAAAACTGTCCCGAGTGTTCAACTCCTCTAACCATATTACTACTGTGGCGTGTGCACTGCTGACAAGACTTACCAGTAGTGTATAAGAGACGTTGACTGGCATAAAAAATATCGAATAGGGGAGAGATGGATTTGACGTCAAAGAGAGCAAATGACTCAGCGTTGTGGCAAAACATCGGAGACACGGAAAGAAGACAAAGAAACACAATACGAAGGAAGGGAAGAAGTTACACAACATGGAAGATCTGAGGAAATGATGATGCAGATAAGGTGTACATATTTCGCTACATAGAGATATCCAATTCCAAATGAGTATTCCTTTTCCATATCTCTTGCCTTCTACTATTAAACGACACCAGCAGTGTCTAGTGACAGCAGAGATGTCATAGAAACTGCATTTAAGATAAACGTGGATTATCCTTGTACAACTAAGCACATCTGATGAATAATAAAAAAGAGTAGCAGGAATATATATATATATATACACACATATATCACAGCTTATCACTCGTGATTGACCTGTTCGCTCTCAGACAATCGTATAGAACTTCGTAGGTTGCAGTTGAGTATTCAAAGGTTAAAGGTGGTGGGATCCCGTAGCTGTCAATGACATGTCCTAGGATCTCCAGATGCGGTTGTAATGGCTCTTTTAGGTGTGTCTCTCTCGGACACTGGAATAATGTGACAAGCACGAACCAAGTCAATTTTGGTAAATAAACCCATGGAAGTTGTCGCTGAAACCCGAGTTCAAGCGTCATTATTGTCTCCCACAACGTCTGGAGGTAGCATACACCCTCTGATTGACGAGGTAGAATAGTAATGGCAAAACGAAGAAACCTATTTATAAACCTGCCCATTTCATGCACCGTTTTATTTGAGCTTGTGGCGCATAAATAGTAGTGGCAGGAGGGCATAAAAATGACTCCAAAATTTTCTGCTCACAACATCGACAGTGACAAAAACTGTCCCGAGTGTTCAACTCCTCTAACCATATTACTACTGTGGCGTGTGCACTGCTGACAAGACTTACCAGTAGTGTATAAGAGACGTTGACTGGCATAAAAAATATCGAATAGGGGAGAGATGGATTTGACGTCAAAGAGAGCAAATGACTCAGCGTTGTGGCAAAACATCGGAGACACGGAAAGAAGACAAAGAAACACAATACGAAGGAAGGGAAGAAGTTACACAACATGGAAGATCTGAGGAAATGATGATGCAGATAAGGTGTACATATTTCGCTACATAGAGATATCCAATTCCAAATGAGTATTCCTTTTCCATATCTCTTGCCTTCTACTATTAAACGACACCAGCAGTGTCTAGTGACAGCAGAGATGTCATAGAAACTGCATTTAAGATAAACGTGGATTATCCTTGTACAACTAAGCACATCTGATGAATAATAAAAAAGAGTAGCAGGAATATATATATATATATATACACACATATATCACAGCTTATCACTCGTGATTGACCTGTTCGCTCTCAGACAATCGTATAGAACTTCGTAGGTTGCAGTTGAGTATTCAAAGGTTAAAGGTGGTGGGATCCCGTAGCTGTCAATGACATGTCCTAGG